TTTTTTCGTAGATCTTTACTATTTAATTTGATTTTAGCAACAATTGTTTTTAAATGATAAGTGGATATACCTAGGTTTATTCATACGAACAAACTTCAGAAATACTGTTATAAGTTATCATTTTGAGCTGAAACACAAAAATTTAATCTTTCCTTCTAATTTCAGGAAAATATTATACAATGTTTTCGTTTTGATTCCTTCCAACTCGACATTTGCTCTGGCATGTTCTGGTAAAAAGATAGTCACTGATCATAAAGTCAACTATGATGAAGCCATGAAATTAATTTATCTGTTTTTTAGAAATTAAAAAGTATAGAACTGCTACAAATATTATGTCAGATTTTTATCAAAGATCAATAAATAATTTATCCGAGCTTCCGATAAGATCCACTTATCATGTAAAAAAATGCTGTTAAAGTCAAATTAAATAGTAAAGATCTACGAAAAAAAACTTTTAGAAAGAGACTTTTGAGACACCCTGCATATGTTCATTCATATTAACGTTCAGTTTCTTTTTTTTTTTCATATTATAAAGGAACTCAACATTGTGTGGATGGAACAGATGAAGACTATTGTGAGCATTTGCTATTGAATGAGTGCAATCCAGAGAGTGAATATCGTTGCAGAAATGGAATGTGTATTGATGAAGAATATTTTCTCGATGGGGACATTGACTGTCAAGACCAATCAGATGAACAACATAATTCAGTCTATGCCAGTACAAAGTTATGTTTCGCTCGGCCCAAATTGGATTGTGATGAAATAATATTAAGAAGTAAAGGGCAGTTTTCATGCGGTGATGGATCATACGTACCTATTGCGAAACAATATCGAGAAGACTCAACGTCTAATATTCCTAAGTCTTGCTACTCATTTCGCGAGAGACAATGGAAATGTGAACTGTATAGTCGAGAGATCATGTGGACAAATCCAAAGAATGGACATTGTTTAGATTATGTTCATAACACAACAATTGTACCAAAAGAAAAAGATGATTGTATCTTCATTCACAAATGTGCATTGATCAGACGAGGTCAACATTATTTGTGTCCATGTACAGGTAATGGCTGTCGTGCTCATTTCCATCGCTATTGTGGTTCAACTAATGTCTCATTATTTGCTTATCCACCTGGGCGTATATTCACACCATTTGTTGAGACTTATTACAAAAGCAATGAGCACAATTTTGATCGTAATGTATGGCCCGATGTTTTCATTTTCACTCGTAGTATTAAATGTAATAATGAAATGCGAGCAACACCGAATACAACAAACCAACAAGATTGGCTCTACAATGAAGCGGTAGTAGTCACATATGTAAGAGTAAAATATATGCATCCATTAGAGGTGCTTTTGTGTGAGAAGCATGAATCTATCAATGCGAATCAAACAAACTACGGAAATTGTTGGAATGACACGTATCCCAATCAAGCCAAACATTGTCCAAATTCAATACCATATGATTGTATCTCAAAATATCATGTCAAAGATGGCATTCGTGATTGTGCACATAGTAAGCATTTCTTACTAAGAAATTCTCCATGATTCTTCTCATGATTTTATACTAAAAAGTTCTTCTAAGACTAAATATTCATTTGAATTTCAACTAGAAGATTCAAAATGATGATAGGAATTAGAATCCCTCATTCTAAAAATACCAACATGAAACCATGAATTATAAAAAAAACCTGATATGTGTACAGCTTTTAGTATTAACCTCATGTTATTACCGATTGCTCTTAGAAACTGATTCTTCGAAAATAATTCTTAATTCCATTTCGGTTGATTAATAGTACATGTCTTGATACATCTGTACCCTATGGTCTTTGCGTCAGGTGAGTTGTGCAGGTTTTACCAATTCCAGCTTCTCTAGGCAATCATTGATTGCATCACTAATTATTTCATATTTTGTTTGAACTCATCACTCAAAAATGTTCTAATGTTCTTTCTAGCGGAAGATGAGAAAACGGATCATTGGTTTGAAGATTATTCATCAATTCAGACGCATCGTTTTCGATGTTCAGAAACTGAACAAACTTGTTTGACACCTTTGTCAATTGGAAATAATCTTCCTGATTGTAAGACAAACAATCACGACGAATATTCCAGAAAGTACAATCTTGAGCTGAAGCACCTCAAATGTGTTAGTAGAGATTCTTCTGATTGTATATTTTTTCGTCAATACATTGCGGAATCGCCCATCTTAGACACAAACACTACCGAAAAAGTTAATAACTCGATGAAATTCTGGGATTATTGTAATTCTTATTGGGACAAGGGTTATGGTGCCGATGAAATTGACTGTCATCAATGGAAATGTCCATCGCATTACTCCAATCGACGATTTTATCAATGTCGAACAGGCCAATGCATTAACGAAGATTGGTTGTGCAATGGGGATTGGGATTGCTCAGATGGATCTGATGAAGAAGGCATTCAGCTATTAACAGAGTACACTATTGGTGAACATAATTTGAAATTATTTCAGTTACTAGGAACAAATTTAACTGAACAGCAACGTCGATGTTCGAAAGAGAATTCAGAACGCCCATTCATACAATTTTGTGATATCAAGACTGAATATCCTTGTTTGTTGGCGAATGTAGATGATGCATTGAACTTTCTATTAAATCGACCATGTATTAATCTAACGCAACTGGGTGATGGTCGTGTTGATTGTTATGGCGGGTTAGATGAACGAAATATATTGAATTGTTCATTGCATGAACAGTTAGGTTTTGGATTTAAATGTAATATCAATGGCAGATGTATTCAAAGAAGACAGCAATGTACTACGAATAACCGATGCTTCAATGGTAATGATCGTCTGCTATGCATTTATTTGTATAACAACTCAAATGTGAAATGCGATGGTCAACCTTCAACCGCGACTGTGAAAGATGTCCATTGTCTTAATGGAAGTTGTTTGTCAGATTCACGATGTAATGGCTTGGCAGAATGCCCATCCGGTGTGGATGAATACTATTGCCCAACAGCAAGTTCCCCTACAACAATAAGTTATCGACCACGCATAAAGAGGTCTTATTTTCCTATAATCAAAATACAACTACCAAATTATTCGCCATTTTCTTTCCAAGTAAATAAATCCAATGAAAACAATGGCACGAACAAAACGTTAAAATCAGAGACATCAATGACTGGTAAGTCCACATTATAAATATGATACACTTTATTCAATTGATTGATTCAGCTATTCAAGATCAAAGTTCGTCCACAAGAGCATCTCGACAAGAACTGGCATATCAGTTTTCTAGAGAAGGTTGGATATGTAATCGTGGAGTTACCGGGAATATAAAATCGTTTGATGTAAGCCAGTCACTTGTACGATGCTTCTGTCCACCAAGTTATTATGGAAATCGGTGTGAATTCATGAGTGATCGAGTAACAGTGTTTATTCGCTTTGAAAATCAGACTAATGGTTTGTCAAAAGGTGTCATCAAAATATTAGCTCTACTCGTTGTTATTGTCAATGATACATCAACAGTTCTCGATCATCATGAAGTTCATTTTACATCAGCACTTGACAATTTTAAAGAGAAACAGAAATTCTATTTTGTTTATCCTCGACCTCATCAATTACGATCAAATACACATCGATATATCGCTCGTTTTGAAGC